TTTAATCCCAACTCTTGCTAGGTAGAGGTAGGAGAATCAAAAAATCAAGACCATGTTCAGTTATATAAGAGTTAGAGGCAAGCCTAGGATATATGAGGTTCCACCTCAGAAAAAGACAGCGCACATACAGACACGCATGCACACACACACATACGGTGTGACTGAGACAGGTCTATTTCTGAACTTCCTCATCAGAGGAATGAATGTGTTCCTTTTAAGACTCTAAACCAATCTGAGTTTCTATCATTTATAGGGTACAGAATCTAGACTGATAGACAGATCCCCAAGGTCTACTGAAACCTTGCATCTAGATAAAGTGATGTTTTCATGCTAATCAGACATATACCAGATGGTTTGAAAATACTTGCTGGGGGCCAAAGGCAGTTCTTTAGCGGGTAGGATAAAATCATGATTATACTTTGGATGCAGGAAAATCACTGCTAACAGTTGACTTGAAAGATGAACCAATAAGGCAAGGGATGAATGACAGGCCACTCCTTGGCCTTCCAGAGGCTGCCAGTGTGCCCCACCCATGCCTAAGCACTGTGCCATTCCCAGGACATGGGCGTAGAAGGAAAAGGAAGGGATGTGGGCATGTACTGACGCCTCTGGCCTAAGAGGGTGGAATTTTGGGAAGGGGTGTGTTCTAAAAATAGGGAGGAAGTTGCCACCCCATTGGAAAGAATCTGCCACGCTGCCTTCCAGCTGAAATATCAGATAGAGACTGTTCTTCTCCAGGACAGGAGGGAACTGGAATGGCCAAAGAGATTTACTTTTTTCCTGAGGGATTGAATGAAAGAACATGATATTTTAGGCTCACAAAAGTAAAAAAGATAAGGGGAAAGTAGCAAATTAAAAAGTTCATTGTGTGTTATCTCTGTTATTTTAGAATTAAATAATAAGTGTGGTGGGTTGGGGTCACAGTCCATTCCAGCCTCGTGAAGAACCCTTGCTTTAACCCCCTAGCCTTGCACTTAGCACATTTGGCAGAGCTTTCCCTAGCAGTTTTCTCTACTCGGCCTAGCTAAGAGAACTGAAGAACCACTGAACCAAGCAAGGTTGTGGTCACTGGGAATGGGAGAAATGATCTGGGACTGATGGAGTGTGTGTGAGGTCCTTCACTCAACCCAACTACATGCATGCCTTTGCAGAGAAAGAGAAAGAGAGAGAGAGAGAGAGATCTGGAACCCTTGACATATCTAAAATGTTACAAACTATCATAACGCCATCAAGAAGCCAGTAATGGAGGGAACAATGAGAAGGAACTGCCGTGGGGAATCTCTACTGCCCTTACATCAGGACAATCCCTCCACATGAGTAAGGTTTGTAAAATGGCATGGGTGGAACCCTTGAGCTAAGCCCCACACAGGTGAGGGGCCAACATGGCCAGGCAGACAGAATTAAGTGGGAAATTTTACTGGGGGAAGGGAAGAGAAGAGAAAGAGAAGAATAGGAAAAGTCTTGCCTGCCCCTTCAGATGCACAGCAGGAAAGAGATTGGGAGTGGATGGAGCTTGTCTCTTAAAGGGACCTTTGCACCTGCTTAGTGACATAGCAGCCATAGGACCCTGGGCCAGCATAATGCCTGAATCCTAACAATAGGGCCTAGCAGAAGCCTATTACTGTTGCTTTGTCAAATGAACATGTTATCAGACTGTCGTGTGTTTATGTATTATGCTGCTTGCTTAAAGATGCCCCTCTTTACAGTAGGGAGAAGTCAATGTAGTCATAACTGGCGACTTCTCAGACTTAAATGGAGCAGTTACATCAACCCCACCCCCAGCCCCAGCCACATGGCTGGAGGAAGAAAGGGTGGAAAGAACGCAAAGGCATGAGCATGTGGAAGAGCACTGTGACGTGTCATCTGACGTGGCGTGACCGATGCATTCAGGAACTCACAAAAGTGTGGTCACCTGCACATGGCCCACACAAAATCACGACAGTGAAAATCCTGGCACAGATGAGAGGTCTCATTAGGCTCTACCCGCAGTTAGGGAGCTGCTGGTAATCGATAGCCGCTAGTGGAGAGGGGGTTTCTTTGGTTTGTTTTCAGTTTCTGGTTTTGTTTTGTTGAGGGATATGGCCACTGGAAAGTTGCCCACACTCATGCAGTATTTGAAGTCAGTGGAAAGGAAGAAAAAGAAGAGAAGGACAATGATGACATGAAGGGAGGAAGAAAGGGGGCATTTGGGGTGGTCTTATGGAATGGGGATGGAGATGGATGTGCTCAAGATACATTGTGTGTATGAAATTGTCAAAGAACTGGTAAGAAATGGAAACAGCAAACCACAAAAAATTACAAGCAAACAAATCTTAGTTACAGCAGGCTCTGGCAAATAGGTATATCTATTTCTCCCTCAAAGGTTCAGTAGCACCAGATATCCTACAAGCATGCTCACTGAACGCTCCCTATCAGTGCTTGAATGAGTCCAGAACAAATGCCATCTCTCTGTCTTCTTCTTCTTTTTCTTCATTGTCTTCTTTTGAGACATTGGTTCGTTTAGTCCAGGCTATCCTCAAACTCTAGGTAGCCAAAGATAACCTTGAGCTAATTTTTTTGGTGCTTTTGAGACGGGGTCTTATTATGTAGACCTAGCTGACCTGAAACTCCCTATATAGATGAAGCAGACCTCAAACTTGAGGAGATTTGCCTGGCTCTATCTCCAGAATGCTGGGATCAGAATGACACGCTTAAAAACAACTGTGTTCATGCACAGTGTATATATGGGGTGCATATGGAGGCCATCAGTCTACATTGGTGTCTTCCTGACTCTCCACTTCATCTTTGAGAAAGTCTCCATTGAACCCTGCATTCACCAATTGCCTAGTCTGGCTTGGTAACACTTTGCTCCTTCTCCTCCCCTATCCCTTTTGTCCCCTACTAGGGTCACAGACACACACATGCCTGGCTATTTCATATGCATTCTGGGAATCTAAACTCGGGACCTCTTGCTTGCTCAGCAAACATTTTACCACCTGAGCCATCTCCCTAACCTAACCTAGAACTCTTTCTGTTATTGTTTGGGGTTTTGTTTTGTTTTTTAGACAAGGTCTCTCTGCTTATTCACGCCTGGCCTCAGACTCCCATAGATCTGCCTGTCTCTCTCTCCCCCAGTGCTGGGATTGATGGCATCAGCCACCACATTCAGTTTCTGACATAGAACTATTGATCCTGCTGTTTCCAACCTACAAATCCGGGGATCCGATGTGTTCCACCATGCCCAGTGAATGTGATGCTGCCAATCAGAGCCCAGACAAGCTTTCTGCTACTTAAGCTATATCTCCAGCCCTTGTTCCATATCTTATCTGAGCAAATCCCGTTAACAGTCTTAACCTCTGTTTAACCAGTTTCCACTCAATCCTGGGACCCACATGGTTTTAGAAGGAGCTGTACAACCTAGCTCTAATTCCTCCTTGCATCACTGGCACAGGGTAGCAGTTATATTAATATCATGTGCAACCTTGAAGTCTGGTCAAACTGAGGGCCTTATACAAGGTTTTCTACTCACTTTGCTCTTGAGGGTACAGTCCCTAGTCAGTCTTCATTACTTTGGCCTTTGTTGTAAAGAATATGGATACAACTCAGTGGTAGAGGATGTGTTTAGCAATGTTCTGGTTCAACCCCGCCCTCTTAAGTAGACACACACACACCCTCATTATCACATAGACCACGTGCAATTCCTGCTCCTCCCTGATTAGCAAATTCTGTCCCAAATTCTGTGGTTACAGGATTGTCCAAACAAAGCAACCATAACCTTTCTAAGGGAGCAAGGGCACCTCACCCTCCTGTCACACTTACCTTCTATAGTCCCTTGCAGTTTCCTGAGCGCAGCCCCTCTGGCCCGGTGTGGCAGTCCTTCAGGGCAAGCATAGGAACCAGTAAACTGCTGCTCTCCTTTGACCAGTGGCAGTTCTACTGCATCGGCTCTCACTAGCCAAGAGAGCAAGGATTGCTCTCTCTCTCTCTCTCCCTCTCTCTCTCTCCCCCAAAATAGGGTGCTTAGGGAGTAATTGAAATAAGTAATTCAATTTCTTTTTAAATTTTACTTCATGTGCATGGATGTTTTGTTTACATATGTTTTCTATGCACACCTTTAATGCCACACTAGGGAGGCAAAGGTTGATGGACATCTGTGGTTTGAGGCCAATCTGGTCTACAAAATAAGTTCCAGGCCAGCCATAGCTACATAGTATCAGAAACAAACAAAAAGAATATGAGTTTGTGCCAGGCAGTAGTGGTACACACCTTTAATCCCAGCACTTGGGAGACAGAGGCAGGCGGGTCTCTGTGAGTTCGAGGCCAGCCTGGTCTACAAGAGCTAGTTCCAGGACAGGAACCAAAACTACAGAGAAACCCTATCTC